GCTGGGGCTCTGGACTCAGCCTCGCATTTCCCATGGGAGGCATCGAGCAGCCACTTCCCCACCAGGGTTTCCTAAATGCCAGAGCTGCAGCAGAAGCGGCCAGATGGCTCTCCGCTTGCGACTGGCCTGGGAGCCTCTGTGGCCACTGATCTCCCGCAGCCGTATGGCCTCGGCTCAGACAGCTCTGCGAACTCCTGCCCCAAAGGTGTCTCCTGAGTTAGGTCTCACTGCTGCGTCTGCCACCACATCTGTCCCCTTACAGCCAGAGGCCAGTGCTTCCGCTGGCTTCACAGAGGCTGATCTGGTGCTAATTTATGCTAACTGCCCCGGATGCAGTGCATCAGAGCACAGGGGTGTCTGCCACCCAGAAAAGGAGTGAGGGAGTGACGGTTTCTCGGTCCTAACAACTGGAGAAACACAATAGATTTTAGCAAGAGAGGGAAAAGGCAGGTTTCTTGGAGGAGGATCTTGAGGTCACACGAACCCTAGAGGGGTGGCATGCTCTCGCTGACCACGAACCTCACTCCAGAACTCACAGGTGGTCCTTTCCTTGTCACAGCCACTCGGAGCTGACTGCTTAGACGCGCTACTGCACTGGCAAGCGGGAAGAGAGAACAGATCCTGAGATCACTGAATTGCTTGCTTCTGGCTTCAGACAAAAGCACAAACCCGAGCTGGAAGACCACGCGTGGGCACGGCTGACCAGGAAGGCGCTGGCCGCTTGGGATGCCGAGGGTGGCCCTGCTGCGGGGCGGCTGCATGCAGCCGGCTAAGAAGTTGGTGAGGGACACGGACCCATGACAAATGAATAGTTTCATGTGCAATTTCAAATTGAGCTTGCATTCTCACTACATTTTCAGGTAACCAGGAATCAGGGAAAATTTTGTATTTACCCTCCTCTTAATAAACTGCGATGCTCTTCCTTTCGTTGAGTTGATGCAACCTCCGACATGGGGCCCCTCTTGCCTGAAGACCCCATCAGCACTCCGGGAAGACCATCAAGGAGAGCCTGGTGTGCCTTCTCGGGGAAGGCGTTGTGCTGGCTGACCGAGGAGTCTTCCCTCCGCCCTGGTGCCGAGGGGCTGCAGGCTGCAGGGAAGATTTTCTCATCCTGCTGGTTTTCACCCCTTTGACATATACAGGAGGGTGTGGGATGGTCTCTAAAATTCCTGGATCTGTGGCATGTACCTTTCATTTTTAGAAAGTTCTTGGCTTTGGGCGCCTGGGTGGCTCAGTTGGTTAAGCGACTGCCTTCGGCTCAGGTCATGATCCTGGAGTCCCGGGATCGAGTCCCGCATCGGGCTCCCTGCTCAGCAGGGAGTCTGCTTCTCCCTCTGACCCAAACCCCTCTCATGCTCTCTCTCTCTCTCATTCTCTCAAATAAATAAATAAAATTAAAAAAAAAAAGTTCTTGGCTTTTATTCCTTTAAACGTTCTTCTGCATGTCGTCTGTCTCTCCTCCAGTCTCCGATGCTCCCCTCTTTCCTTCCCCGACTCCATGTCGCGGCAGGCACCTCCAGGCTGAGTCTGCTTGCCCGGCTGCAGGCCCAGCAAGGATGCCCTGTTCACAGCGCCTCCTTCTGGCCCATCTTTCTAGCTCCTCTGTGGGCTGGGACCCCTGACAGACCCCTTCCTGTATTTCAGAGCCCTTACCTGATGGTTCCAACATCGGGGTCACCCCCGTTGACTGCTGCACCTCTTGACAATCCACTGTCAGCAGGTACATTTTTTTTCTTGGGTGTAGGTCTAGAAATTTTTATGTCAAACATTGTGTACAAAAACAGTAGCTCATGAAGGGACATAACCACCCAGAAACGAGCATTTGCAGTGAGGCTGCAGTCAGGTGGGATGGGGTGCTGGGGATGGGGCCATCGAGGCCAAAACAGGTTGTGCTTGGGTTTGTGGCTGCCATCAGTGCCCTCTGTGGCCGTGACCACAGGCTGCTGCTGCCTCCAGCACGGGGCCTGGGAGCAGACTCTCTCACCATCGCACCCCTGCCTGCCCGCCCGCCTGCCCTCCTGCCCTCCTGCCTGTGGGCCGCCGTGTCAGCACAGGGTGGGCAAAGGCGCTCTCTGCCCCTGGCCCAGCTTCACCTGCAGCCTTGGGGTGGCCCTTCCTAGCACTCCTGCCGACCCCCTCCACCCCACTCAGCAACACGCCAAGCCGTGTGGACACACGATCGGGGGCCCCTGTCTGGGACACAGCCTCTGCTTCTTCCCGAGTGGCTCCCGGCTTCTGCTCCTTGTACGAGCGAGGAGCGGGGTCTGTGGGCAGTCACTCCCCTCCTGCCTGTGCCCCCAGGGGGACCCTCCTGGCCTCCTGCCCTGCCCTAGGCCTTCTCACACAGGGAGACCAGCAGACCAGAGGCGGAGCTGCCGCATCTGGGACAGTTGTTGGGGGGCGTCTCCTTACCCTCTCGCCCCCAGGGCTTGGCCCAAGGTGAAAGGTGAAACCAGTCACGGCCCCACCCTCCTGAGCCAGTGCTGGTGTCCACAGACTCGCCGGTGGTCCTGATATCACCCTGCCCCTGCTCTCGGACGGGAGAGCAACCCCACATGACGGGATCACTTCTCAGTGTCAGCCTTGCTGATGGCCAGGATGTGGCCGCTGGGCCTGTGTCCCCCGTGCACGTGACAGGACGAGTTACCGGTTACCTGGGTGAGCCGCTCGTTACCACCTCCTGTGCCAGGGGCCAGGCGGCGCTGCTCAGGTCATCCTCGCCTGTCCCCCTTCTCCGTCCTACTGCTTTACCCCCAGGGGTCGGTGCTCCTACCCCGACTGGGAACTGACGGTCCCTTCTAATTCCTCCACTCTCTCCCGTCATGGGCTCTCAGCTCGGAGTGTCTTCCTGACACAAGCCTCTGGACACGTCCCAGTGGTGCTGGGTCCTCAGCTCCGTCTGCTGGCAGACACTCTTCTAGTGATTGCTCGAGGGACTACAGTGCACGTCCTCAGCCTTCCGTAACTCCCCTTCACGTTGTGCAGCCTCGCGGGAAGCCTGGGTGGCCTCGGTTTCAGCTCAGGCCCCAATCTCAGGGTTGTGGGATCAAGCCCTGTGTCGGGCTCTGCACTCAGTCCCAAGTCTGCTAAGTATCTCTCTCCCTCTGCCCCTCCCTGCCTGCACGCGCAATCTCTCAAATAATAAATAAATCTTAAAAAAAAAAAAAAAAAGGCAGGGGGAGCCTGGGTGGTGCAGTCGGTTGGCCATCCGACTCTTGATCTTGGCTCAAGTTGTGATCTCAGGGTCCTGGGGTTGAGTCCTGTATCAGGCTCCGTGCTAGAGGGGAGTCTGCTTCAGGATTCCCTCTCTCCCACTGCCCCTCCCCGCCCTGCACTCGTGCACACACACTCTCTCTCTCATATAAATAAATAATATATTTTTTAAAAAGTTGTGCAGCTTCACCTAAGCCATGGTGGGCCCACCCGCCGCGATCCCTCAGCCTGTCAGGTGTGTCTGCTCTGGGAGCACCGTGAATCTCAGAGGGCAAACAACCTATTTTGCTTTAAATGATCAGGTGTGCTGTCAAGAAAGTAAAGAGGAGCAATGGAGGCTTCCACGCGGACCCGCAGATGCCCGCTCTCCGAGCTCGGCACTCCTGCCGGATGCCCGGCTTCCCCTCCCATCCCGCCCATCCTTCCCGCATGGCCTGGAGCCCGGCGCTGTGCCCCAAGTGCGCCTCCAGACACGGAGTTCTCTCACTCCCCTAGATCTGAAGCCTCCATCCCCACACAGGGTCCAGGTTCCCATGTCAGCACCGAGGCACACGGGCCCACTGCTCCTGAGCACTCAGGGCCATGTCCCTGTTCGCTCCTACTGCTTTCAAAATGCTCCCTTTCCCCTGGGTTTTCAGCAGCATGTGGATGACCTGGGAGGCACAGCCTCTTCCTGTTCATGCTGTGCGAGGTTCACTGGGCTACCTGGGTCTGACATCTGTGTCTTGTACCACATCTGGAAACCAGCCACCTGTCCCCTCTCTCCAGGGCTCCATACACATGCCACCAACCTCTGAGCTCTCCCCACAGGCGCCTGAACTCTGCGTGGCCTGGGTGGCCTCTAAGACCCCCTCCATCCCCCACTGTCACCCCCACCCTGCCAGCCAGCCCATCCAGGGAGTCTTTCATTTCAAATACTGTACTTCCCACTTGGTTCTTTTCTCATCTTATCAGTTTCTCTCCTGAGAGCTCTTGTCTTCATTCATTAGGGCCTCATGCCCAGTCACACAAGCTGTGCTAGACCCTGGGGACTCCTCGTGTGGTCAGGGAGTCTGCCTGGGTACCAGGGGTGTTGGGTTGTGGGGCATGTGGGTTGTCATGACACCGGGAGCGAGCAGATGTCTCTGGTATCGGCACGTAAGGTGGTTTGACCCAAAGGGAAGCTGTGCCGTGCCCAGCCGTGTCCACTTGGGGGCTGTCCTCTGCTCATCCCCGCCACAGCCTCATGCCCACTGCCCACTCGTTTCTGAACAAACCCTACTGCACATGCTCATTCTGGGTGCACCATTCCCCACAGAGCACGGGCTCAGGGAAGCTGAAGTCCTCCCCTTACCAAACCAACCAGGAACCTGACTGCCTCTGGGCTGTCCGCCAGTGTTAGCCCCGGGTGAGCCCCTCCACAGCGTGTGGAACTTGGCAAGGCCTAGAGTGGGGAGGGGCTGGCCTGCAGGATGGCCTGCCCTTCACCCAAGGCACAGAACTGGTCCATGACAACACTCTGTGGTCACTGCTCTGGGACTATTCATCGCAGCTGTGTGGAGACTACCATCTACACAAACACACCTGAACATCACCAGTCCCCTTGTCTGCACTGGTCCACCATTCTGGGCAAGGAAGCCATTGTGGGCCAAAATTCCAGGTTAAATAACAGACATCACACAACACGGTCACACCTGCTAAGCTGATGACAGCAGCTCAGGCAAGGAGAAAAGCAGAAAAAGCGCATGAATACATACCCCACATACAATGCTAAACTCCCACGGAGTATGTTTCTGATTTTCACTTACCAAATGAATACCTAAAAAACAAAAGGAGAAAAATGTATTAAAATTTTGCCTTGCTGGGGCGCCTGGGTGGCTCAGTTGGTAAAGCGTCTGCCTTCGGTCATGATCTCAGGGTTCTGGGATCGAGCCCCACGTCAGGCTCCCTGCTCAGTGGTGAGTCTGCTTCTCCCTCTGCCTCTGCCCCTCGCCCGATCATGCTTGCTGTCTCTCTCTCTCTCTCAAATAAATAAATAAAATCTTAAAAAAAAATTTTTCCCCTTGCTTTGTCAAAAAATTTACAAGATTAAAGTATCATGCTACCCAACTAGGTAAAGCCCAACTCAGTGACTCCAGGACACTGTGGGTCAGGTCACAGACCCCATGGACGTTAAATACGGTGGGAGAAGGCGGGGCAGGGGAGACCTGCTCTCAGGTGCTCTGTGTGGGGCCCAGCCGCTGCCCAGGCCCCATCCTACACAGGGGTCTAAGGCCATGCCCACAACAGGCCAATCAAGAAATCTTTTAGGAAAAAGGAAACATAACAGTGGATATTTGGTGGTAAATCACATCTGCAAGTAATCGAACACCATGAAAATGTCCTACCCTAGAATTTGAAAGTTTCAAGGATGCCCAGTACCCCCAGCACAGATTATCACAAAGGGGACCCTAAATGGAAGGCGTTTGGTCTCCACAGCAGGGGCAAGAAAGGCTGTCTTCACCGTGGAGTGCGATGGGAGCAAGGGGTCCTCAGCAGCACACAGGTACCTGGTGCGCACCCACAGAACCGAAACGGCCCCACTCTGCTCCCTGAACCTCGTGGAACCGCAGCAGGAGTTATTTCTATGCATCAGCTCCACCGTCAGTTGATACTCAGTGGACACAACATCTGGGCTCTGGGCAAGGTCCAAGGCAGAGCTCTGGGTGGCAGGGCTGTGGGCTGGGGCTGGGCGGTGGCACGGGGCCTCACGGAGCGCTGTTGAGTTTAAGACCAAATGAGGTTTTCACAGTCAGAGGGAGCAGCCATGCAGCGTACCCTGTGGCACTGACCCTGACCCCTGCGCCCCCCATGGCCCTCTGACATCTGCTCTTGACGCTCTTTGAAGTGCAGGCTCTGTCCTCCCTCTCAGAGGGACGTAGCAAAGGCGGCTTCCTCCACAGGAAGGGACCCCCTGAGCCTCCCCGACCTCGGTCCAAGTTTCTGGAGATAATCCTTTCTTCTTTTGGGGGGCCAGGATGGTGGGGAAGAGAAAAGACGGTCACACAGCCATCCTAGCTAGCAACAAAGGAGCCCTTTAGGAGCACTGCCAAAGTAAAGCTCAGATAAAAGGATCAGAAAGCCAACGTTTTGGAAAACTGATGCTAAGTGGGGCGGTTGGAGCAAAGTCACAGTTAAGAGGTTCCAGTATTCGACCAGGTTCCCCCGTCGGAGATGGACAGAGCTGGTGCAAGACTCTTCTGTAAACTCACTCAAACTTCCTGCAGCCATGGCTACTGAACTCTGCCTCTCTCTTCCCAAGTCACGGGTACCCAGGGCAGTTAGGCCCTAGAGCAAGAGGACAGACACCCGAAGCCCCACAGTGACACGATCAGTGACTGAATGGATAAACACACGGGGCCAGGAGACCCGACTCCCCTGCAGAAGAGTCCCAGTCCCCAGCGCCCCACCCCGACATGTGGCAGCCGGAACCTCGGCCAGGAGAAGGGCAGCTGCAGCACAGATGAGTCACGTCGACGGCACCGACCCCGACGTGCCGTACCACGTGGAGGAGGGCGCGTGGTCTCTGTGGCCTTCTCCCCAAACCCACAGCCCAGTCCAGTCATGAGAAGAGCATCAACCAAGGCCCAGTGGAGGGACGTTCCACAGCATCCCTGACCAGTCCTCAAAGCCGGGGAGCCAGAGACACTGTCCCAGCCTAGAGGAGCCTCAGGGGACGTGACGCCCAAATGTCCTGTGGCTCCTGGATGGGATCCAGGGACAGAAGAGGTCAGTGTTAACTCTTTAAACCTGACAAGGAGTAGGCTGACAATACATGAAGCTGGGTGGGGGTACACAGGAATTCTCTGCACTGTCTCTGCAATAATTCTGTAAGCCTATAACTATTCCAAAAATGAATTGTATTCAATTAAAAGGAAAAGGGGAAGTGGCTACGCAGCAACAGAATCTGTGCCTGTGGAGAGAAGTGCCTCCAACCTGCTGGGTCCTCACCAGCAGTGTTTGGCGCCCGTGCAGGCCGGGCCACCGGAGGGACTTGCTAGCCCCAGCAGGACTGCACAGCTTCCTTCCACTGAACGAAACCTCTGGGCTCTGGGCAACGTGCACAGCAGACAAACTCAAGTTCTCAGCAAGAACAGCACGTGCGCATGGTGCGCTCAGATGTGCCTACCACGGCCCACTGCGTCTGAGGACCAGGACACATCAGCTGGGCAGTGGGGGGCTGCCTGACAGCCGTGTGCCCCGGCCGCCTCATCCAGGGCCCCTTCTTGCTCCATGCAGTCCCAAGGCGCCTCCTCCCCGTCTCCACCTGACAGATGATGCTGCGCCCCTTCCAACAAGGCTTCCCTTGTTAAGCAAATGGAACCACTGGTGGTCATCTCTCTGCCCCTCACTGCACGGCCTCAGGGATGGGACACCCTTGTGCCGCTCCTGTCCCCCCATAGCACCAGGAAATGAAAACCTGTTCTAACCATACTTGACAGCTGATGATGCAAAGGGGGCAACTGTGAAGTGGGAACCCCCAAGGCCATTCAGCAGCCCCGCACAGGCTTGCCCTGCATCGGCGTCCTGACTGCTGGCTTGCAGTGGCCTCCAGGAAGAAGCCCTGCAGGGACGTGGAGCGTCCAGTGCCAAGCCTCGTTCATATTTCCTGTCCACTCAGCTTTCGTGCATGAGCAAGGCCTGCCTGGCATCTGCTGTGTCCCTCCCTCTACTCAGCCAAGGCAGAGCAAAGCCCAAGCCTAAGATGATGCCACAAAGGAAACGACCCTGCTCCTGCCTCACCCTCCTGCGCAGCAGGCACAGCCCCAAGGTGGTCCCGGGACTTGCGCCCCTGTCCCTGGCTACTTCCTGCAGCACCCGGGATGCTGTCCTGGGGCTGCTCTCCTCGGGTGTGGGGTTCCCGTTCCCTAACAGGGGCCACAAGTCCCGGCCTCCAGGGCCTGAGAGACCAATATTATGCCTGCCCTGGTCTTCAACACAAGGCTGGCGAGGAGGGCGGCAGCCAGAGTACATGGAGAAATCATGATTCATCACCTTAGATTTGCCCAGCATATGAAAACAATATGTTTTAATTGCCCGTAACTGGAACGGCAGAAACCCAAAATGAAGTTGGCACGTGCCCTTGACAAAACACAATGCCGTGTGGGAAGCAGAGCTGAAAGCTGTCATGAACATGGGGCCACACCGGGTGCTGACAGCAGAGGAAGGTTCTGGAAACACTTTGTGGGTAAAATCAGGAGGATGTGAAGTCTGGTGAAACATGGGAGAAGTGGGGAGAGTCGGCGTCCCAGGTTCCCCTCGGTCCCACTGATGACCGTGGAACTGTGGCACAGGGGTTCGTGGGGCAGAAGGGGGTGGCCTCGGGGTGGCTGGGCATGCAGCGTGGCAGCTCTCCCTCACAGCCCACAGCTGCCCCACGCCCAGCCACAGGCCACACTGCTGCCGGCCCTGCAGCTCTGGGACAGGGCCCACCAGGGTGTAGCTGCCTGGGGCATGGCCCCCAGCTCGCCCCCGGCCTCAGTGCCTCATTCCTGCCCCCATGCCCCCAGGCTCCCTCCGGCTGTGCCTCCTGCAGCCACAACAAGGACTTCATAAAATCAGCACACACACCCCCCTCCCCGATTCCGAGGGCTTGCGTCATCACTCTACAGAGCGCTCACGGCCTGGAGGGGAGCCACTTTCCCACGACCACCATGAAGTGGATTCGTGAGCTCCCGCCTGCCATGCAGTGTCAGGAATGAGTCAGGAGAGCAGGCAAAGGGGGTCATGGTTCCGGAAGGTGCACGGTGCGGTATAAGGCTACCTGGCTCTGCCCCACGACATCTGCCTTGGAGACTCACGGTGCCACGGAGCATGAGGTTCACCTGCCTCCCTTGGCAGCAACGCAGGCTTCCCACGTGCCCTGGAGCATGCATGTGAGATGCCGGGACTGGGGCAGAGGCACCAGTCTGAGCCTGGAGGAAGCTGAGAGGACGCCCACCAGAGGGACAGGGCAGACAGAGGGCCTAGTGAAGCAACAGCCACCACGCACACACGGCAAAGGCGGGCGGATACAGGGCCGGCAGCACGGGACCCCAAAGCAAGGCTGCAGTGCCTCGGAGAAGTGCCGTGTGTGCCTGCCCGGTGCCTCCTTGCCCCATGGGGGCTTCCTGTCCCCGCCACGGGATGCCAGCTGGACAACACCTGAAAGACATTCTGTCACCAGTCTCCATTATCTGAGCATCTCACCCCAAACAAATATTTTCTCTCAACTTTAAATAAATGGGACATGCAAGGAACAGTCTGTGTCTAACTCTCATTTTGGGGTGCCAGGAAAAAGAAAGCTTGTTGTCCACGTGAGGGGTCCTCACTTGGTAAGTTTTCAATGTCACTCTGACACCTAAACTCTCGTCCGTCAGGGAAACCTGCGTCAAGGGCGGGGCTGGAAAGACCGTGGAGGCAGAGGGCACCGGAGCCCCCCCACCCCCCCACGGCCCCGCATCTGCGCCAAACCAGCAGCGAGCAGCCCGACTGTGAACGCAGACATCTGCCTCATGACCGCGGTAAAGAAACCGCTGGTCTCCAATGACAGATTTTGTTTTCTTTTTCATTTTTCACCTAAACCATCTCATGCATCGTTTCTGAGAAGATGTACTTTTATTTTGCTTTAGTGAACTTAAATTAATTTGAATCACATTTTTCTTTTTTACATATCCAAGGGAAGGGGAGCAGAATATCTCTTCCAGTGAAAACAATATAAGACTATTTTTGGCCATCTGTACCCAAACTCGTTTTCAGAAATTTAAACATGGGGTTAATCTTTCTTGACCATACTCTACACGTGACTAGGAAATACTTTTTACAGTAAACTTAAAATCAGAATGATTTCTCTGGTTGCTAGACACGGGAAGGCGTGACCCAAGACACATGCCACACATGAAGCATGCCACCCCGCCTGTCCATGGAGTCGGGTGTGCTCGCCGTGTGTGCCTAGAACGCTTCCTCCTCCGGCATAGATTAAAATCACACACCTCAAAAAGCAGCAGCCTCTTAAGACATCACAGAAAAACCCAGCCAGAGTCCTTCTGTGTTGGTACACACCTACTGACCGAGAGACTGGAGACAGAAGGGACTGCACCTCGGGCGTCTGACCCCTGGGAATCCCACAAGGGAAGGAGCAGATGGGGGTGAAGGAGGCATCACACCTCACAGCTGCTTTGCAGCTGCTTGACGAGCAGGAGGCACACGGGACAGTCACCCAGACCCCACCCAAGGCGCTCCAGCCCCTATTTCCACCCCCACGGTCAACAGTAACACGACAGAAGGGCCCTGGGAGTGGATGGAGCAGAGGGGTTTTCAGGGTGACGGAGATGCCCAGACTTCCTTGCCGCGGACTGGATCTGCAGGATGGGCCTCCTGCACGCATGCTGAGTGTCCTCCACACCTGTTCTACCCAGTGCAACACTGACCGGCACTTCCCACAGCCAGGAAGACGACCAGGCAAGAGTCCAGCCCAGACTCCTCTCCAAGGGGCGCACACCTGCACACGGGGACCAGGGCACAACTGCACTCGGGGGAGCTGAGGGGGGCTTCAGACAGCCTCCAGCCCATGGCCACAGTCCTGAGGGACCATTCAAAATAGACCTGCAAGATGGGACCGAAGGTCAGCTCCATGTACCCAGGCGGGGACGGTCTGGGTTACAGCCCACATTCTGGGGAGACTGCGTGAGCCTCTCCATCTCGGACCAGCGCTGGAAGGACTATCAGGACACCGGACTTACATTTTTCGCCCAGAGGACAGATGACTTGTTGGTCGGTGCTTAACCTTCTCCATGTCTGCGCAGATGCAGACACCCACATCTACTTCCTACATGTCTGCACAGACACCAATCCCCTGTCCCAGAGCTTCTCTCAAAACTTTGTCTTTTCTTACAGAGTCCCCCGTGCTTCCTCTGGAGCCCAGAACTGGAAAGAAAAGTGGCATCCCTCTGCTCAAACACACCACAGCAGCCCGTGGCCACTGGACTTTTATCAGGCCCCCCTGGACGGCGGGCTGCCCTGGCACACCCCCCTCGGTTCCCGCAGGACTTCTCCAGCCTCCCTGGCTCTGTGGAGCTCCACCACCACCTCTGGATACTTGTCATAGGAGCTCACCTGCCCCCGGAACAGGGCCAGCCTAATCTGTGACTCCTGGCACTAGCTGGACTCCCAGAACAAGGGAGGAGCTGGAGCAGGGAGTAGCAGAAGAAACAAGCCTCCAAATCAAGCCCCCACCACCACAGCACTCCCAGAAGCCCACAGAGGGACTCCACGTCCACCTCACAGGTTCCCGGCCCTAGGAGGCTGACTACATGCTCTCTCGGGGGTGGCCATGCCACACCCTACAGAATCGTTATTCTTCCCAAAGGACAAAGTCCCTTGGATTTTGGTCGACTGGCAACTAGCAGACTCTACTACCGCCTAATTGAAATGGCGATGTTCTTCTGAACTAATGTAAGAGGCAAGCTTGCTCCATCTCCCCAGCTGCCCGGAGGCTATGGCTTGTTCTGCAGCCTGTGACGTGCCCAGGCCATGGAATCACAGCACACCTGGACTCCAGGACTCCACTTCTTCCTGCTTACCAGATCTGTCCCACGTTGACCAGGGACATGTAGAGAACCCAGAGAGTGGCCATGAGCACCATATTGGCACAGCCGGTGACCAGGACGAAAGAGGAGACACCCAACCCGAGAAGTGCGAGGGCGTCCAGGTTGGAGTCCATGTGTGACCAGTCCAGCAGCCAGAGCACGGTGGGTGCGTAGCTCACAGCATCCCAGCCGACCGGGCCCTGGAAATACTGCTGTACGCTCTTCAGGTACGTGCGGCAGGGCAGCAGGCCCCGGTCTCCAATCAGCTGCTTGTTCTGATGGAAAGCCACCAGGAATGCCACAACTGGAAGAAAAAGACCAAAGGACCATGAGCAGGAGCACAGCCATCTGTGGACACCTGCAGGAGGGGGCTTGGCTAGGTGAGAAGATGAGGGGGTGTCTGACCCATGGTTTGGAATCAAAGCAGGGACACAAGAGGTCCAACTTCCAAAATCTCGGGGGAAATACTGGAAGACCCAATCTGGAGAAGCTAGGCTGTGTGTGCACACGTATACAAACCTACATGGGTTGTGTCTACTTACATGTGTTGTGTATGTGTACGTGAGACAGATGCTGGTGTCACACGTATGTGCGGTTACAGGTGAACGGCCAGGTAAGGACCCCTGACTGCACTCAGCCTTTGTCATGATAACACATGTCTGGACCGCCCATGGGGCTGGTCCGTGGTGCCCCTCCCAGATGGGCTGCAGCTCACGTGCAAGTCACGACCGCTGCTCTCAAACCACTGGTTTCCTTCAAGTCCCCCCCCCCCCCCCCCCCCCCCCCGGAAGAGCACACTGGCATTCTCTAGACTCAAGAGTTTGCACAGAAGTGTCTGCACGGGGATGCTACAGGAGAGGAGAGAGGGCACAGCATTCCCATCTGCAAACGTGAAGAGCAGGGAAACTCAAGGCCCACCAAGGGGAAAGAGCCAGGCAAGAGGCCGTCTCGGGGGCCAGGGATGCCCGCTGGACGCCCCGCGGGAGCACACGCACTGACGGACCCAGCTGCACACCTGCAGTCAGCTGCATCACGGGGCAGGGATGGGGCGGAGGTAGAGGAGGGAGCATGGCGGTGGTTCAGTTTCTAGTTCCACATACACTGGTTTAGGCTCCTGGTGTAATGTTCACTGTTGGAAATGTGTGCGACTCCTCATCTAAAGCAAAACAGGCCAGAATCAGCTAAAGTATATGAAGGAAAGTATATGAGAAAGCAGCACCGAGGCCAGATGGAGACGTTGGAACACACTCTTAGAAGGACAGGACGCCACACAGGAAGCGGGATATTATTACACGGAGGGAGGCACACATTAATTTAAAATGTTTATTGCAAGTCCTATGGGAGAGCAAATAAAAATTTAAACAATTCTAAGTAATTAATGGAGATACAAGAATGGAATTATAGAAGATGCTAAATTAACCAAAGAGAAGGCAGGAAAAGAGAAAAAAAAGAACAGAAAGAACAAATAGAAAACAACTAGCAATATGACAGATTTTAATCTGTTGCTTGAAATGAGATTGTTCTAAACCCACCAATAAAGACAGAAACTGTCAGACTGGATAAAAAAGCAGGACTCAGGGGCGCCTGGGTGGCTCAGTCGATTCAGCGTCTGCCTTTGGCTCAGGTCATGATCCCAGAGTTCTGGGATGGAGTCCCACGTTGGGCTCCCTGCTCAGCCGACAGTCTGCTTCTCCTTCTCCTTCTCCCTCTCCCTCTGCCCCTGCTCATGCTCTCTCTCTCTCTCTCTCGCTCACTCTCTCTCAAATTAAAAAAAAAGGACTCAAATCTATGCTGTCTACAAGAAACGCATTTAAAATATAAACACATAGGTAAATTAAAAGCGTGGAAAAAGATATATCATACAAATGTTAATCAAAAGAAAGCTGATGGCTATATGAATATCAGACAAGAGACATAAAAACAAGGAACAGTATGAGGGATAAAAAAAGGACATTGCATAACGATAAAGAATTAACAAACACGTAATAATATGAAATGCTCATGAATCTAGCAACAAAACTTATGTATATTTAAATCACCTCACCAATACACATATGTATATATCCTAAATGTATGTTAATTGACTTGACCCAACGCTTCTAGATTGCCATCTAGCATAAGAGAGCAAGATAGAACAATGTGACATCCTTAGAACACTCTACCCAACAGCAAAATAGGTACAATTTTCAACTATATGTGGGACATTCGCCAGGACGCTCCATGCTGTGAGCCATACAGCAAATATTAACATATAGAAAAGAACTGGAATCTAAAAAACGTGTGCCCCAAACAAAGAGAATTAACCTAGCAATCAGTCACAGGACGTTATCTGGAAACACCCAAATCTTCGGAGATTACAATACACTCCTAAATAAACCATAGTTTTTTTTTTTTTTTTTTTAAAGCACAACAAGGGGCACCTGGGTGGCTCAGTCAGTTAAGCGTCTGCCTTCAGCTCAGGTCATGATCCCAGGATTCTGGGATCTAGCCCCGCATCGGGCTCCCCGCTCAGCAGGAAGCCTGCTTCTCCCTCTCCCACTCCCTCTATTTGTGTTTCCTCTCTCGCTGTGTCTCTCTCTGTCAAATAAATAAATAAAATCTTAAAAAAAAAAAAAAAAGTGTGGTTCTGGCAAAAGGAGGGACCCGGACGTCATGGAACAGGACTCAGAGCCCAGGAACAGACCCACACAAATACAGCCCACTGATTTCCGACAAAGGTGCAAAGACAGTTTAGTGGAGAAAGATGGTCTTTTCAACCAGTGGCATGGAGCAAGTGGATGACCATATGCAAAGAGATGAGCCCAGACACATGTCTCACACCTTACACCAAAATTTCCTCACAGAGGACCGTAGACCTCATGGTGAAGTGTAAAAGTAGAGAACTTCTACAAGAAAATCTGTGGTTTGGGGGTGGCGATGAGTTTTCAGACACAACACCAGAAGCGTGACCCAAGAAAGAAAAAAAACGGATAAACTGTACTTTACCAGATGAAAAGCTCCCACTCTATAAATGAGACTTGTAAGAGAATGAAAGGACAAGCCACAGATTGGGAGAAAACATTTACAAACCACACAAAGGACCTGATAAAGGACTTGTATCCAGAATATTTAAAGTACCACAATATCCCATATCCTGAATATTAAAGTACTTTTAATAAACTCAAGAATAAGGAAACAAACAACCCAATGTTTAAAATGGACAAAATATCTGGACACTGAAGTCATCTGTTTCACACAAATAAGATACACAGATGGTAAATAAACACAGAAAAGATGCTTAATATCATTTATTGGGGAAATGCCAATTAAAGCCCCAATGCAATATCACCACACACCTATCACAACAGACAAAATCCAAAAAACTGAAAATACCAAATGCCCCAGAGGATTCAGAACCCCAGACGTTCATGACTGGTGGGAAGGCAAACTGCCATGGCCACTGTGGACGACGCGGTGGCAGTTTCTTCTAAAGCTGAACATGGATCTACCATATATGACCCAGGAATTATACGCTTAGGTATTTGCCCATGTGAACTGAAAAGTTTCATTTCCACAAAAGCCTGCATGCAAATGGAGCAAACGGGCTTGGTTCACAACTGCTAACGTGGGAAACAACACAGAGGTCCCCCAGTGTGGGAGTAAACAAACACAGGTGGTACATGCCTACAATGGATAACAGTCGAGGGAAAATACACAAGCCACTGATTCATACAACAGCATGGAAGGACCATAAATGCCCTTTTCTAACAGAATCCAGACCCAAAGGCTACATACTCTAGGATTCCATTTATATTAGAAAAGGCAAAGCCACAGGGGCAGAGCATGGATGACAGCAGACGTGCGGGAGCGTGGGGGGTGGGCAGTAGGTGACTATATGCACAGGGGAATTTGGGGGGGATACAACTACTCTGTATAGTACCAGAGTGATGAATAAGCATGCATTTGTCAAAACCCATAGAACTGTATGTCACAAAAAATGAACTTTAATGTTTACAAACTATCAAAAAAGCCAGCCTGGAGGTCAGAGGATGCCAGGATGGAATGTAGACTGTGACATATGAATGGCACTCTATGGCAGATGTCTAACACGACCATACTGCGCGGAAGGGGGATGGGAAGGCTGGCCTAAGTAACTCCGGAAAATGCTTTGAGAGAAAACTGTAAGGACAAAGACCAAAGGAATGGTTAATAAATGCTGGAGTCTGGTTGGTCTTTCTCATGGCGTGTGCGGACGATTCTGAAACTGCTTTGCAAACAAAGCATGGTGGACAGTGGGGCAAGATTCCCACCAGGAGACATGGACGTTCCAGAGAAGCAAGGAAGGAAGGAGCGCACCTACCCTGTGTCCTGGGTTAGGACTGGAGAAACCAGTGCGAATTCATGTTACCCTGGCAAACATTCAGATGGATGTGCGGGGAAACAACTGGATGTGAATGACCACACGTGACATCGGGCACTCCCGGCACGCAGATCTGGGTTCTGAACACCACTCCCCGGTAAAGAAACCATAGCCAGAGAAACGGCTAGTCTTAGGGCTGGGACACAAGGGCGAGGCAAGCGGCCCGTGGCAGGGGCACCAGTGGAGCAGGCAGAAAGCACCAGCGCTGACCGGAGCTGGACGGTCTGAAGCCACAGCAAGGGAAAGTGTGGGACACACCCCAGAGCCCAACTCAGTGTGAGGACTGGCGAAGACATGGAGACAAGACACGAACCTTCCTCACAGAGGAATTCCCAAAGATATGTGGAGATGCCCCTCCGGGGGTGGCGCTGAGTCCTCCCTCCCCTGGGGCGCGGGCCGGCCCGGTGACGGGCTTCCAGAGGACAGGGCACGCACGGGAGGAGACACCTGGAAACACACCTTCACCAGGTGACCCAGGTCGGCATTGCCTGCGGCGAGTCATGTGGACTCGGGCACCCGATCTGGTAACAAGGGCACCTCACCTCTGTGACCCATCTCATCCTGAGAAACACCAGACAAACCCAGTGTGCGGGGCATCGGACCAAATATGGGACCAGAACTGCTCCAAACGACCAAGGTCATGAAAAGCCGGGAAAGGCCTCCAGACTGCCAAAGACCAGAGGGGACAAAGGAGACAAGGCAGCGAAGTGCAGTGTGGCGCTGGGAGGGGCCCCGCAGTGGGAAATCCCAATAAAGTCTGTGGAGTTTGCTTAATAGGTTGGTTTTTTTTCTTCCAAGTTTCTTGAAAGCCCACTATATGCAGCTCACAGCAGTGGAGAAAGAGAAGTGAGGCCTGACCCTCACATGACCACGGGAGGCCAAGGGAAGGAGGACTGGGTGGGAGT